CCATTCTCGTTCCTTCTAGTACATTGTTACCTCCTTGATTTTTAGCCTCATGCACCAGCAAACTACAATCGTCCAAAAATCTTTGGAACACCACATCATTTTCAAATAAAGACAACAAAATTATCATATTTCCACTACTCATTGTTGCAAACATAACATTTCTTAGTATGCGACTCTGTAAATTATCAACATCACGAGCAGGACAATTGCAGGATATTCTGTTCATACCTATTAAAAAAAAATAGTGTGCTTCTCAATTTGGCGAGTTTGATGGCTCCTGGGCGACTTTAGCACCGAGGTCTAAGGTTAGAGGTCTGGCTCAAGCCCCAGGGCAGAATAACACTCAGGGTCTTGTTATAACTCAGGAGCATGCGCTACTTTTGCTATGACATCTGCAAAGGGTTAGACATTCTAGTCTTCTTAGAGAAGGACAATTAACACAAAAGGCCCCGTCTGCTGCATCTTTTCTGTATAAAAGAGCAGGTGAACGTTTAAGTAGCTCATGACTTTTCGCAAAGTGTAGGGAATGTAGCTCCCGATGTTGTGGTGTGGAGTATTCTTTCGCGTCCGATAACAGAAGCAGGCAACAGGAAAGTTTGTTCACCAAAGAGGTGAAAAAAAATCACGCTTAAATACTTTGGAGGAGGAGGGGCAGGAAGGAAAGGGGCCACTGCACGCTCCAAAAGCAAAATTGAAAGATAATAATCACACAAGCAATTATTTGGTTCGAAAACATGTCCTTGTATTTGAAATGTAATATCTTCTAGTGTTAGACTGCTGACAAATATGTCGCACCTATTTAAGCTCTCACAAAACACTTACGTGCATAGGGTCAGTCATTTTTCTAAATATTGGTGAGTAAATGCACCTAATCGAAATAAACTACTTACTGGATTCTATCACACCGAAACAAACGAAGTTCTTCGTATACTCTCTAGGTAACTGAAGCGCGACTTTCATATAACAAATAGATAAAGCGTTCGTCTCCATTTCATCGAAATTTCAAAGTCTAAGGAACAAAAATCACAAGAAGTCTCGTAATCGATTATTATACTTCTAAACTTCACAGACTGAGATCTTCAGTAGACTTCACTCCTGGACTATTCATTGGGAAACCTTGTCATTTATACCGCCCTTGTCACAAGAGACGCTTGTAAGTTACATTTCTTATGAAGCATTACGAAACCACCAGGTCACCTCATACATTATACATTGCTGATACGGTGAAAGTGATTTGTATAGAAGTCAATGCAATCGATCAAAAATCATAATTCAGAGGAAGTGGCACCGAAAGGCAGTTTATATACGATTTTATTCTGCGTACACATTCTCACTGTTTTGTATCTGTAAAATTGCAAGCAAGGAAAAACCTTTTAGAATTGAGACTTCCAAGAGTCTGCTTGCAAGAGTTTTCGAATAAGATAAGAAAAAGCTAAAATTATACAAAATTTAATGAATATACTAGACAGTCTAAATATTCACGAGAAAAGAAACAGCGACGTGTAAAACTAAGTCAAAGGCGTTCATTGTCTATGAATATGCACAGTTACTAGACCATCAACACGTGTATCTTTTCTTCTTTTTCAAAACAGCCTCATTATCCTCGACACACTCTTTCTTTTCTGTTGTAGCCAAGATACGTTCCTCCTGACCTTTAGTACGTCCATATGATCTTAGCCATACTTAGAGATATAAAATACCACTGCAAGATCAAGACAATACTTGGCCTCTTCGTAATTTTCTAGGTTATCATGCACACAACCCAAAAATGATGTGGTAAGAATGTGCGACATTAACATGTTCAGGTTCCAGCTTTTTCAGACGAATCTCCAATGCACGCTTATGGTAGTCTTGTGCTTGATCTGTTTCACCCAGCGCACTGTGTAAACTACCCAGATTGTTGTAAGAGGCTACAACATTAACATGTTTAGGTCCCACCTTTTTCAGACTAATCTCCAGTGCACGCCTATGGTAGTCTTTTGCTTTATCGATTTCGCCCAGCGCACTGTGTAAACTACCCAGATTGTTGTACTGAGGCAACATCAACATGTTCAAGTCCTAGCTTTTTCAGAAGAATTTCCAGTGCACGCTTATAGTAGTCTTTTGCTCAATCTGTTTCGCCCAGCGCACTGTGTAAATTACCCATATTGTTGAAAGAGGCTGCCGCATTAACATGTTCAGGTCTCAGCTTTTTCATACCAATCTCCAGTGCATGCTTATAGTAGTCTTCTGCTTGATCGGTTTCGCCCAAGTCACTGTGCAAGCTACCCAGATTGTTGTAGGAGGCTATAACATCAACATGTTCAGGTCCTAGCTTTTTCAGACGAATCTCTAGTGCACGCTTATAGTAGTCTTTTGCTTGATCTGTTTCGCCCTGGTCACTGTGTAAACTACCCAGATTGTTGTAAGAGGCTGCAACATCAACATGATCAGGTCCCAGCTTTTTCAGACGAATCTCCAGTGCACGCTTATAAAACTCTTTTGCTTGATCTGTTTCGCCCAGCGCACTGTGTAAATTACCCAGATTGTTGTAAGAGGCTGCAACATTAACATGTTCAGTTCCCAACTTTTTCAGGTAAATCTCCAGTGCACGCTTATGGCTGTCTTTTGCTTGATCTGTTTCTCCCAACGCACTTTGTAAATTACCCATATTGTTGTAAGAGGCCGCAACATAAACATGTTCAGGTCCCAGCTCTTTCAGACAAATCTCCAGTGCACGCGTATAGTATTCTTTTGCCTTATCTGTTTCGCCTAAGTAACTGTGTATACTACCCAGATTGTTGTAAGAAGTTGCAACACAAACATGTTCAGGTCCCAGCTTTTTCAGACGGATCTCCAATGCACGCTCGTAGTACTCTTTCGCTTGATCTGTCTCTCCCAGGTCACTGTGTAAACTACCCAGATTGTTGTAAGAGGCTGCAACATTAACATGTTCAGGTCCCAGCTTTTTCAGACTTATGTCCAGTGCGTGCTTATAGTAGTCTTTTGCTTGATCTGTTTCGCCCAGGTCATGGTGTAGAGTACCCAAATTGTTGTAAGAGGCTGCAACCTTGACATGTTCAGGTCCCAGCTTTTTCAGACGAATCTCCAGTGCATTCTTATAGTAGTCCTTTGCTTGATCTGTCTCGCCCAGATCACTGTGTAAACTACCGAGATTGCTGTAAGAGATTGTAGCATCAACATGATGAGGTCCCAGCGTTTTCAGATAAATCTCCAGTGCACACCTATAGTAGTCTTTTGCTTGATCTGTTTCGCCCAGGTCACTGTGTAACCTACCCAGATTGTTGTAAGAGGCTGCAACATCAACATGTTCCGGTCCTAGCTTTGTCAGCAAAATCTTGAGTGCACGCTCATAAAACTCTTTTGCTTGATCTGTTTCTCCCAGATCACAGAGTGAATTTCCCAGACTGTTGTAAGAGGCTGCAACATCAATATGCTCAGGTCCCAGCTTTTTCAGACGAATCTTCAGTGCACGCTTATGGTAGTCTTTTGCTTGATCTGTTTCGCCCTGTTCACTATGTACAATACCCATTTTGTGGTAACATGCTGCGTTTTTCAGGTCCCCACCTTCGTGATTTGACTCAATTATTCTTAACAGCAATTCATAATAGATTAGCGCTGCTCCAAACTCACTATGGTCACGGCACATGCCTCCAAGGGTCCAAAGGCCACCAGGGTAACAACTCAAAGACTTTAGAGCTTTTTCGGAGAATTCTGGTTTTCCTTTCCTAATTGCCATTTTTTCAAGTTTTAAGCTCAACATCTTTAGATGAGGAGATATTCTTGTTCCCACGGTAACAGAATCTAGTTCTTCAAATATTGAGAATGACATTAGAGTCCCATATATCACTTTGTAATTTTCATCCTCTGTGCAATCTTTCGTCGCGTATTTAATAACATCATGAACAACACTATGAACTCGAATGTAGACACCACCCTCTTCTTCTTCGATCAGCAACAACGAACATCGATTCATCCTCATTCTTATCATATCTTCATCTTCAAAATCTTCATCTACTGCTTTGATGTACTCGATAACAGCTTCTTGAAGGATCGGCTGTAATGCACAGAAAGAGAGAAAATTGAACATGTAATGGAAAATGATATCGTCTGCCATCGCCTTTTCGACAGCGAGTCTTATTGCTTTGGTCATGGACTTTGGATAGCTTTCATTCGTCTCGGCAAGAATGGTTTCAGTAGCACTTCGTTTCCCCTCCTGCACTTTCTTGAGATAGTCGCTCCAGCCAAATTTCGAGGTTGCTTTACTCTTACGAACTTGTCCCACATATGTGGCCGCGCTCGCTAAGGCAAGTGGTTGGAAGTCTAGTGCCTTTACAATTTCTTTTTCAACCTTGACATCCGTGATACCAGAGAGGCGGTTAAGCAGAAAACATGCATCATCAGAATCCATTCCTGCGCTGATTGAAATGTTTTCTATAGAAGAGCTTGTTAACGGCATGGACGCAATGTCCTGTGTTGTGAGTAACATCTGGCCCCTTGCCCACAGCTCGTTTCCTAGATTTGGCAAATGACCACTTGAACGACATACACTGGTCACATTATCAGCTACCAACAGCCATGAGGTATAATGCTTAATTTTTGCACTTATTAAGGTTTTGAGATACGAAATCTTCTCGTCTGTGTTCAAATCCTTCGAGCCGTAAGTTTCTGTTATTTCATACCCGGGACATTTGCAATGTTGAGCGAAAAGGACATACGAATTCAAAATTTTTTCTGAGTTTTCAGCATTCAGCGTCATGACAAACGAAACTTCGGACGGTATTTCTTTGACTTCTTCGTAGAATCGCTTGGCCACTAAACGGGCCAGATGAGATTTGCCACTTCCTGGATTTCCTGACAAATACAGTATGCTCAGCCCATCATTGGCGCGTTTTAGTGTTTGAAGTTTTCGCATAATTTCTTCTACTTGAGATTCCCGAGCAGCGATGTCGTGTGTAGGTTTTGGGGGGAGAATGCAAAATGGA